GCTTTGTTTTATTTTATTTTCAATATGGGGATTGAACCCAGAAGCACTCTAACGCTGCCTTACATCTCCATCCCCCTTTTTTTAAATATATATATTTTTTAGTTGTAGATGGACAAGTACCTTTATTTTGTTTATTTTTATGTGATGCTGAGGATCAAACCCAGGGCTTCACAGATGCTTCGCGAGCGCTCTACCGTTGAGCCACAACTTCAGCCCTCAAAGCTTTATTTTATTGATCAGCAATACTGTAACTGTAAACAATGATGTTTTTCTGTTTTTATTTACATAGTTTATCTTTAACATCTGCTCTTTTTTTTAAAGTAGCTTTCAAATTGTGCATGTTTCCTTTAAACTGGTACATAAAAATTGTACAGACTCATGTGGTTCTCTGTGATGTTTCCATACATGTATATACTGTACAATGTTCAAATCAAGGTAAATATCTTTCTCCTCAGATTATTTTTATTTCTTTATGGTGAAAACATTCAAGATCCTTTAGGGCTGGGGGAGTAGTAGCTTGGTGGTAAAATGCGTTGGGTTCAACCACCAGCATTTCCCATCCCCACCAAATATAGCACACTATTATTATTTACATCTGGTTGGAAAAGTTATGTCTCTTTTTTCTTCTTCTGGCATTACCTCTACATTTTTGGATTTTGAAGGGGGGTACTGGGGATTGAACTTGGGCACTAGGCCACTGAACCACATCCCCAGCCCTATTTTGTTTTTTATTTAGAGACAGGGTCTCACTGAGTTGCTTAGTGCCTAAAAATTGCTGAGGCTGGGTTTGAACTCTCGGTCCTCCTATTTCCCTAATTCCCTAGCTGCTGGAATTACAGGCCTGTGCCACTGTGCCTGGCTATTATACAATTTTTTAAAAAATATTTATTTTTTTTTGCTTATAGGTGGACATAATATTTTATATTTATGTGGTGCTGAGGATCGAACCCAGTATCTCACACATGCGAGGCGAGCGCTCTACTTCTGAGCCACAACCCCAGCCCCTACCTATGTGTTTTTAACACATTTAAAGTTACTTGTCGTTCTTGTCTAGAATTAATCAGAATCTTTATGTTTTCTTCCTTTTTCCAACAAGGCAGAAATGCTGCTTGTTTTCACTTCCTACTCCTTTTTCTTCCTCTTTGACTTCCTATGTTGAAACCATGTAAGTATTTTAGTTCCAGATTGCTTGTTTTTCTAAAAGTCAGCATGTGCTGGTTTCTCTGCTTATAGCCCATGGATGAAAAGTTTCTTAGAGCTCTTGGATGTTTTAAAATTACGTTGATATGCTTCTACTAATTATTGCAGAGGAAATCTTGGAGTAGTAAAAGTTGAGCTCTTTTGTGTGTTAAGATTTCTTTGCATTCCACTTGAAAGCTGGTTTAGCTAGATAAAAAATTTCCAAATCCTTTTCCTAATAACTTTGAAGCAGGTACTCCATTGTCTTATAGATCTGTGTTGCTGTTGAAAAGTCTGTTTACTTTTATGAAATTTATGTATCTTTGCAGGGATTCAGTTTTTTTTTTTAGGATTTCCTGAAATTTCAGTAGGCTGTGTCTAGGTCTTCCTTTTTCACTAGTTATATATAACACTTGGTGTTTTGACCTGATGATTCATGTCCTCTCTTTTCCCTAGAAAATTTCTGGAACTTGTATAATAGAGGTATTGAACTTTATGGTTCTATATTCTGTGTATCTACTTTACCTTCATACCTGAGAGGCAGTCTAGATGAATTTGTTTTGTTTTCCATTTTTTTTCCTGCCCATTTTGTTGGTGAGTATGTCTGTTAAGCTTTATTTTGGCAGTAGTTTCTTTTATAAAAATGTGGTTTTTGAGGGACTGGGGATGTGGCTCAAGTGGTAGCGCGCTTGCCTGGCATGCATGCGGCCTGGGTTCTATCCTCAGCACCACATACCAACAAAGATGTTGTGTCCGCCGAAAACTAAAAAACAATAAATAAAAAAATTCTCTCTCTCTCTCTCTCTTTCTCTCTCTCTTTAGGAAAAAAATGTGGTTTTTGAAGTATAATTTACATAGAGTAAGCTGCAGCCATTTAAAGTATACAGTTTCATCCATTTTGACACAAGTATTCACCTAGGTCTTGCTAGGCATAGTGGCACATGCCTGTAATCTCAGTGCCTTGGGAGACTGAGGCAGGAGAATCTCAAGTTCAAAGTCAGCCTCAACAACTTAGCAAGACCCTGTCTCTTAGTAAATAACAAAAAAAGGAGGGGGGTGCTGGGGATGTGGCATAATGCCTCTGGGTTCAATCCCTGGTGTACAAGAAAAACCAAATTACCTAGGTATATAGACATACAACCTCCATACTCCCAACAATCACAATTTGAGTTGCCATGGAAAGTGTTTTTCTGCTTTTGTGCAATTTAGTTCTTTCTGTCTAGCCTGTGATCTGCTTTTTCTCAGATGCAGAAGTGATTGATTTGCATTTTCATATAAGTGGAATCATAAAGTAGGTAGCCTTTTGTACAAAGCTGCTTTCACTCAACCTGTTTTTGAGATTCATGATGTTAAGTGTGTAATAGTTTATTTTTTGGGAGGGGGCATTCGAAATCATTTTCCTTTATAACTTGGAAATTAACATGGGTATACTTTATTTAAATTTTGCCAATTTTACTCAAGTTCTTTTGTGTATTTAGTTTTATATAATTTTTTTAAATACCACTGTTACAAGTTTTATCTTTTTTTTAATATTTATTTTTTAGCTGGACACAATATCTGTATTTTATTTTTTATGTGGTGCTGAGGATCGAACCCAGGGCCTCGCACGTGCTAGGTGAGCGCTCTACACTGAGCCACAAAAAAATTAAAAATTTTTTCTCTGGTAGCTTATTCTTCATGGATGAGATCTCATTTTATGCCTGAGGACATTTAATATTCTCCTGGTTGTTCTTGCAGTTCTTCAGGTACCAAGTTTATCATATTTGTGGCATTTATTTTCCTTTGGTGACTCTAGCTTGTACAGTGGTCATCCCTGGATTGAGTTTTGTTCTTCTGTTGGTGGATGCAGTTTCTATTTACTGATCTGTCAGAGTGGACTATAGAGGAGAGATGGATGTATGTGTGGCCAGATGTGGGGACTCCCCATTATTTGTGGCTAACAGTAGCTATCCAGATGTCATCTTGATTATGGGACTACAGTGCCACTGAAGAGTTTGTCTCTGCAGGGGTGGAGTGGAGAGTATTGGAAGGGGGGAAGTGGGCCTATCCATTTGCATGAAATGTATTTCCCTGCCATATTACTTAATCCTGCTTCCATTCCATGGCAGCCATCCTTGTTGGCAGCCTCAATGGATCATCCACCCTTACATCCTCTCCCATCTTTGTAGCTGCTCTCAGTTTTAATAGCATTTCTCTTGGGAGGGTTGTGGACTGATATTACCTAGTTCTAGTAATATCACTTTTTTCTTTTTCTTTTTTTGGTACCAGGGATTGAACCAAGGGTAGGGGCCCCAGCAAACTTCTAGCTGCCAGCTGATGATTGGCTCCTCTGAGGTGATGCTCATTGGGCTGTTTCCCCGCCCTTTCAGACCACGGGAGCTGCTCATTGGGGGACTTTTTTTTGGCTCCGCCCAGGCAACCCAGCCAATTGGCCTCAAGAGGAGGAGGAGTGGGGGAGGTTGAGAGGTTTGTGGGAAGCCCGTTGTGGCAGTTGGGCTCTGAGGGTTTTTCCTGAGGAGCTGTGTGGTGTGGTGTGTGTGTTCTTAAAATGAAGTTAGTTTCTTTTGATAAGTGGCTCCTGAATTGTGCCCAGCCAGACTGCCGCAGGTACTTGACCACTAAGCTACATCCCCAGGCCTTTTTATTATTTTGAGACAGGGTCTCACTAAATTGCTGAGTCTGGCTTTGAACTCACGATCTTCCTGCCTCAGTCTTCTGAGCTGCTGGGATTACAAGCGTGCACCACCATGCCCAGTGTAATATCACTTTTTGTTCCAGAATTATTTTAGAAAAGGATATATCAGTAAATTGATATTTTTGCCATTTCTAGGAATTAGGGTGGGAGAGGAAGGCATGTATATCTGCAGTATATTTTGATCCAACTTCCTGAAGTCTTTTGTTTTCTTTTTGTTGGAGAGGAGTTTGATGTAACTTAAAGTCTATTGAAATCTTTTATTTTTAGGACATCATGTTTTGAGAGAAATTAATCACTGGTGCTTATTTGTTAGGTAGGGTAGGGAATTTCCTGTATCTTTAGTTTTAGTACTAAACCAGAGTTTTGAGTTCTCAATATTTCTCATTTAAGCCAGTTGGGGGCATGAAGATTTTCATTCTCCATCTTTGTTTTTCAGATATGAGCTTATTGTAGTCATTTTTTTGGTGGGGGAGCATTGGGGATTGAACCCAGGGACTCTTAAAACTGAGTCACAGTCCCAGACTTTTTTGTTTTTATTTTGAGATAGAATCTTGTAAGTTGAAGTAGCTGAGGCTGGCCTTGAACTTGTGACCCTCCTGCCTCAGCCTCCTGAGTCACTGGGATTACAGGTGTGTACCAGCACACTTGGTTTTTTGTTTTTTTTTTTTTTTTTGGTACCAGGGATTGAATTCAGGGGCACTCGACCACTTGGTCACATCCCCAGCCCTGTTTTATATTTTATTTAGAGACAGGGTCTCACTGAATTGCTTAGCACCTCATAGTTGCTGAGGCTGGCTTTGAACTTGCGATCCTCCTGCCTTAGCCTTCTAAATCGCTGGGATTACAGGCATGTGCCACCACGCCCAGCCACTTGGCTTATTTAAAAAAAAAATATTTTATAGTACAGTTTGGACTTGTCTGTATAGGACGGTTAGGTTGGCTCAATACCTTGATATTTTTCTTTTTGATCTTTGTCTTAGTTTTTTCCAAATCAGAGGCAGTCACATTTCTTCACCCCCTTTTGTATAGATTAATATCCCTTGGGAATCAGAGGGTGTGAAATAAGTTGCCAGCTGTAAACTCAGGTTTTTAGAAAAGCTGTTCTGACTTTTTTTTTCTTCCCTAGTTTTTCCGTGGTTTGGCTTGGATATTGGTGGAACCCTGGTCAAGCTGGTTTATTTTGAACCCAAAGACATCACTGCTGAAGAAGAAGAGGAAGAAGTGGAGAGTCTTAAAAGCATTCGGAAGTACTTGACCTCCAATGTGGCTTATGGGTCCACTGGTATTAGGGACGTGCACCTGGAGCTGAAGGACCTGACTCTGTGTGGACGCAAAGGCAATCTGCACTTTATACGCTTTCCCACTCATGACATGCCTGCTTTTATTCAAATGGGCAGAGATAAAAACTTCTCGAGTCTCCACACTGTCTTTTGTGCCACTGGAGGTGGAGCATACAAATTTGAGCAGGATTTTCTCACAGTATGCATTTTTTAGCTTATATACAATTTATGGTAATTTGATTGTTAAAAATAATGCCAATTGCAAGTGGTAAAATTATTTCCATTTCTAATGGAACTTGAATTTTCTTTAGTGCAATGAAGACTAAATATAAATTAGTAATAGGAGTTAGCTATCTAGAGATAGCTGTGTTGATGAGAATCAGGACCTCTAAAAGCATTGCATTTTGTCATTCCTCTCCATGAATACTTATTGAGTCTGGGATAAACAGAAGAACAGTGAGTTTGAATAATAAAACTTAAAAAACCCTGTCATAAAATTGTTTCCAGACTCATCTATCATATGATTCTTCTGCCTTTGCATGTGCTCTGTGTTCACTGAGTCTGTCCACCACATCTGTCCCTGAGGGCAAGAGTCACCCAGCACTTGATTTTGCCTTCTTTCTGTGAAGTGAGCAAGGCCTTGAGCATAGGTCTTTTGAGGATGGATGTCAGGATAGGTGTAAGAATTGACCAGTCAATGGCTAAGACCCTAACCTTCAGGGTTCAATACAGATTTAAAATGTCTCTAGTGACCATGTTTTTCATGCCACCCAATGAGAATATTAGACCAAGAAAGATTCTGCCTTTGTTTTATTCTACATATCTTTCTTTTTTCCCTTGTATGTCATTATTATATGGTTTGTGACTTTGCCCCCTTCTTTGTTCTCTGTGTCCTGACTTTTTCCCTGTAACTGGCCGGAGTCGTCATAGTATGAAATTGACGTGAATTATTTAACAGGGTTTTATATTCTTTGTTTGGATTTTTCTTGGTTGCTGTTTTTCAGTGAGGTTGCTGTTTTTCAGTGGTTTCTTTTTCCTCCTGTGAGTACAGGAGAGGTAGCCGTAGAGAGGCTTATGTCCTTTGTGGAAGTCTTCTAGTGGGCTTTGGACTATAAACAGAGGAGAAAACCTCTCTGTTTCTAGGATTCAACAGAGTTCTTTGCAACATACTTGAAAACTATTCAGGCTGTTAGAGGATCATGTTTCGTGATTATCCAAGGAGAGGGTTCAAAGTGGATTTTATGCCTTAGGAATTGGTTCTTGGGAATTCTCTTTTGTATGCACCAGTGCTGTACTTTAAAACTATATGAAACAAATGCCTGTCAAATTGTGTATTAGGAGTGATTAATATTATAAACAGAATTTTTTAAAACCTGAGTTTCTTTTTTAATGTGAATCATATTTTCTTATATTTAGTTTGCTTCTTGGCACTAAATTTATATTCTGAATAACTTAGAATAGTTAAATTACCTTTGAATTCAGTCATTGAATATGTCACTTGGGCTGAAATTCATTAGAAATAATATCGCAGCAGGATATGTAAGAATAAAATGAGAAATTGATTTGACATACACTATCAGAAAATAACTTGGGTTCTAATAGGCCACTGGTGTCAAATGATTTGGTTTAGGAGTGAAAATACTGGCACTTAGAGATGCAGGGAAGTCAACTTTGAATTCATCTTGACATGGGGGAGTGGCTAGATGAAATGACAGTGGTGAACACTTAAAGGGTTTTAGATTCGATCCCAGGAGTAGCTTAATATTCTTAATTAATTAAATTAAGGATTCATCCAAGGCTGTCCATTAACTCTTTTCCATAACCCACAGTGGCTGTGAATAAATTGAATGTAAATGTAATCAAATGGGATATGGATTAAAGAGGGAGAATTTGATGGGCTAAACTTGGTTATAAACAGAATCAGGTACTTCAGGGAGTTGAGCCTTGTAAACATGCAGGTGGTTCAGAAGTTCATAGACATGGCAGTCTGTATCAGCTCTCTTAAGTACTGTGAAAAGTTTATATATCTTAAATTTTTCTGTGCATGACTGTGTATGACACATGTGCGTGTAAACATGGTTTAAAAAAAAAAAAGTCAAATTGGGCCATATTTTATAAAATGGTTTCCAATTTGCTTTTTGACAGCATGTCTTGTGATTCTTTTCATTTTAATTCATATAGATCTTTATTCTTAATTGCTATGCCAATTCCATAATGTTGAATAATTTCTTTCTTAGTTACTTACAAGGAATTAAGTTAAAAAAATGATTTCAATTTTGATATGGCTAACCCGACCTTTCTTAGAGCTATAATCAGTTTAAATAGGGAGAAATTTTCTAATTGGATACTTGAAGCCCTTTGGCTTTAGGTTAAATAGTAAGATGTGGCTTCTTTTGATACTGCTCCATAGACTTGAATCTGGTCTTTTGGAAAGCTGATGTCAGAGTCTTTATGGCTCCTGCAGTTGTCACCAGTTACTCTCTAATAGAGATATGGCTTAATTTGTGCACCTGCTTCATTGTCCCTGTGAACATAGATCTTGTTTTCTCCTTGACAAGTTGGTGAGCATTCACTTAAGATTTTTGGCACACTTCTTCAGCTGCTGCAGTAGTTTGTATGTAGAGTATATTTGGGTCTATGGGAGCAGGCGTCTGTCTTGGCAAGCCATCCCTATGTGTTGTCTCTAAATCTGTTCTGTAATGCTCTGTAGCAAATAATACATATCTGTGGGTGTATTTTTATGGTGTGTCTAACGTAGAGGGGATGTCTTTTTAAACAGAAGTTTTTATTTCTATTGGTTTGTTAAAAAGTCTGAATACAGTCTTATTTTATTACAGATAGGTGATCTTCAGCTTTGCAAACTGGATGAACTAGACTGCTTAATCAAAGGAATTTTATATATTGACTCAGTTGGTTTCAATGGACGGTCACAGTGCTATTACTTTGAAAATCCTGCTGATTCTGAAAAATGTCAGAAGTTACCATTTGAGTTGAAAAACCCATATCCTCTGCTTCTGGTGAACATTGGCTCAGGGGTTAGCATTTTAGCAGTGTATTCCAAAGATAATTACAAGAGGGTCACAGGAACAAGGTAAGTCTTTTATAGAGAAGTCTTTGTTTATTCTTAGTATCATACTAGGTTAACTGAGTTTTCAGGTATTATATGTAACTGTACCTGCAAGAACTGGTTAAAATTATGTACCTTTAATGTCTTGCTGAGGATTTTATTACTACAGTTTAATAAAATGTTGCATCAGTAGACTCATCGATCAAGTTCATGGTCCTGGCCCTCAGTTGATTTATGATGCATTTATACAAAGTAGATAAAATTACTAGGTAGCATCTTAGAAGGGAAAGTCCTGTAGATTTTGTGTGATAATTTAAAAAAATATATACATATTTATTAGTTGTAGATGGACACAATACCTGTATTTTATTTATTCTTATGTGGTGCTGAGTATGGAATCTAATGTCTCACACATGCCAGGAAATGTACTGCTGAGCAACAACTCCAGTCTGAAATCTGTAGATTTTATACATCTGTACAAATACACATATTTACACATTTATGCACACATGTGATTAGAAGAAGGTAGTCTGAAAAGGGAGGAATAGGTGGAAGAAGAGAGTGAATATGTTTTGGTTTAAGAATCAGGTCACTTGAAAAACAAGGGTCTGGGATTAGGATAAACTTTTTTTGCGGGGGGGGGGGGTAACTGGGGATTGAATCCAGGGGCACTTCACCACTGAGCCACAATTTTTATTTTGAGACAGGGTCTTGCTAAGTTGCTTAGGGCCTCATTGAGTTTCTGAGGCTGACTTTGGATTTGGGATTCTCCTGCCTTAGACTCTGGGATTAGAGTCACTAATAGGCATGTGCTACCATGCCCAGCTAAATAAACAATTTTTTTTTTTAAACAAGAGTGAGCAAAATAATGAGAGGAGGCTGTGTGTGGTGGCACACATGCCTATAATCCTAGTGGGTTGGAGGCTGAGGCAGGAGGATCATGTGTTCAAAGACAGCCTCAGAAACTTATGAGGCCCTAAGCAATTTGGAGAGGCCTTCTCTCTAAATAAAATATTAAAAAGGGCTGAGTATGTGGCTCACATCTAGGGTTCAAACCCATGTACCCAAAAAAAAAAAAAAATTGTTGGAGAAAACAGGTTGGTGGAGTCTGATGGGGTGCCAATGAGCCAGGGTGATAAAGTGCTTGAATGAGAATAACTTCAGTGAGTACAGGAAGAGGGAAAGTGAGACAGTGCCACTGTGACTGGTCCCAGGTATGGGGCTAAACTGTAATTGAGGCTCTTTATACCTACTAGCACCCTGACTGCTCTCAGAACTTGGGAAGGGAGGGGCTGGAATTGTGGCTCAATGACTGAGAGCTTGCCTCGTACATGTGAGGCCCTGGATTCGAACCTCAGTACCACATAAAAATAAAATTTAAAAAAAATGCCAGTGGGCTCACCTGGCATGCGTGCAGCCCAGGTTCTATCCTCAGCACCACATACAAACAAAGATGTTGTGTCCGCTGAAAACCAAAAAATAAATATTAAAAAAATCTCTCTCTCTCTCTCTCTCTCTCTTTAAAAAAATAAAATAAAATAGAGGTATTGTGGCAACATACAACTAAAAAAATATATATATATATATATTTAAAAATATATTTTAAAAAGTTACCCACTAAATGAGCAAAAATTTAAAAGTACTTAATGATAAAACTATGTAAAGCTAATCAAGGGAATGCAAATTAAAACCAACTTGTAGGGCTGGGGTTGTGGCTCAGTGGCAGAGTGCTCGCCTAGGGTTCGATCCTCAGCACTACATAAATGTAAAATAAAGATATTGTGTCTACCTAAAACTAACAAATAAATATTTTTAAAAAAGTCCTCATTTAAAAAAAAAGAGAACTTGGGAAGGGAGGCGGGCCCTATGTTTTGCTGCTTTGCTTGTCTAATGAATGTGTCCATCCAAGGTGTCTATGAAGTAGACTTTTTCATATCACAGGCTTGTTTCTTACTGATGGCATCTGCAGGATTGTATTGGGGCAAGAGTGAATTGACGTGAATACTTTTGGGGGTCATAATTTTTACTCATCTATTCCTATTTTTTAAAAATATTGTACTTTATTGCTTGTTTTTAATTACAGTCTTGGAGGAGGAACTTTTTTTGGTCTCTGCTGTCTTCTAACTGGCTGTACCACTTTTGAAGAAGCTCTTGAAATGGCATCTCGTGGAGATAGCACCAAGGTGGATAAACTAGTGCGAGACATTTATGGAGGAGATTATGAGAGGTTTGGATTGCCAGGCTGGGCTGTAGCTTCGAGGTAAGGGAGCCTGTGTATTCTAAGTAGTACAGGAATATGATATTAAGTCCCTGACATATGTTTTCTTTTAAGCAGCTTTATTGAAATATAATTTATGTACTGTGAAATACCTGGTTAAAGTGTGTAACTTAGTGGTTTCTAGTATATTTCCAGAACTGTGCAGCCATCACCATGATCCAATTTTGGAACATTTTCATCTCCTGGAAAAAAGGCTTATATTTATTGGTTGCCACTCCCTGTTTGCCCACTTCCAGCCCTGCCTAATACTAATCTACTTTTTTTTTTAACATTTATTTTTTAGTTATAGGTGGACACAATATCTGTATTTTATTTTTATGTGGTACTGAGGATCAAACCCAGTGCCTCATACATGCTAGGCATGCATTGTACCTCTTGAACCACAACCCCAGCCTTTAATCTACTTTTTGACTCTGTGGATTTGGCCTCTCCTGCATATTTCCTATTGTATCATACATGTACTGTTTTATGACAGCTTCTTTCACTGAGCATATGTTTTCAAAGTTCATTTTTACTTTATCATGAATGTTTATTTTTTTTTGTTGCTGAATAATATTCCATTATATGCATATAACACATTTCACTCATTTATCAGTTGATAAACATTTGGGTTGTTTTCCACTTTTTGGCTGTTTTTTTTTTTTTAATATTTATTTTTTAGCTGTAGTTGGGACATAATACCTTTATTTTATTTGTTTTTATGTGGTGCTGAGGATTGAACCCAGGGCCTTGTACATGCTAGGTGAGCGCTCTACCGCCGAGCCACAACCCCAGCCCTTTTTGGCTATTTTTATGAATGATGCTGAATTTGGTGTACTTGTCTTTGTGTGGACACTTTTTAATTCTCTTAGGTGCATCTTTTTAATTAGGTGCGTATCTAGGAGTGGAGCTTCTAGGTCATGTGGTAACTTTATGTTTAATCTTTTGAAGAAGTACTAGACTGTTTTCTAAAGTGTCTGCACTGTCTTACAACCTGGGTTTTTAAAGAGTGTTAACTTTTTTTCATGTCCTTCAGCCTGTTTATCTTTTTGGTCTTAGCTGTCTTAATAGGCATGAAGTGATTTTTTTTTTTCTTTTTATTTTTCTTTTATTTTTTTTAAGAGTGAGAG